ATATGAGTAGTCCTTTTCCTGCTTGTTTGCAATGTTAGTGCCATTAATATATACCTGATAATATTGCAACATGATGTGTATAGTAACTCAATAAGAAAATACGTGCCAGCCCAATGCAAAGTATTTTATATTAATAAACCCAAGTTAAAAGCAAAAACTTCCATGTTGGCAAGATTTCCTGATAAGCTGCAATTTGAATTTAAGGTATTTTTATCTTTTGCTTATTTACCTTCAGAGTAACTCTTCTTTTACACATGTTGCTTCAATATGCACGTCAGGGATTGCTTGTGGTCTTACCCAGCATATACAAAAACAATATCCAGGAAGTTTAGTCATATTGGCATCATTTGTCCAGATACTTAAGCTGATATTTTTAAAATTAGAAAACTTCTGTTTAAACAGGACATGCATGTTTTCCTGTTTGTGGAGAACCTTCGAAGCTCTTGGGAGGTTAATGTTTTTACCACAACTAAATGGGTTTCCTGGTGTAGTATACCATAGATTAAACAACCTTGAAGAAGCACCTGCAATGCACAAATAGGCAACCTCCCCTCCTTTTACCCAAAAAAAAAGAAAAAAGAAAAAAGAAAAAAGAAAAAAAAGAAAAAGGGAACAGACCTGAGTTTATTTTATTTTATTGTCCTGGGACAATTTTGACAGTCATACAAAGCACCTAAGAATCAATGAAGAACCATGTTCTGTTCAAACTAAAAGGGACTGGGAAGAAAATCTCACATCCCACCTTGGCCTGCTGCCCTGCTTGAAAATGGCAACTACAGTAGGTTGCTAAGGCTTATGTAAAGAAGATAATAATAGCATTCTTTGTTCTCATTTAAAAGAACTTTATAAGATGACTCCTTAAAATGAGCTGTTTGGGTTTTCAGGATGTTGTGGTTTTTTAAATACTAGTGACAATATTATGCAGACAAACACCAGTGAATTCGGTCAAAAGGAGCATTTTCCCTATCTTGTATTTCTGCAGCTGATACATGCTGCAAAGATGATTCTTTCCTTGTCATATTCACACATCAGCTAGGAATAAAATTATCTTATTTACATAGATGCTGCCCATAATTGCAATCCCAATTATTAAAAACTGAAACAACTGAATATGCACAAAACCTGGACCTCCAGTCTGCCTTAAGTAATATATGACTATGAATTCACTTTTGGAGGAGGGAAAGACTAAAACCACAAATTCACACCTTCAGAAGGCAGCAGTTATATGCAGAAAGAATGAAATAGACCAGTGGTTCTTAACCTTTTTGAAAGGATCGCACCCTTGAGGAAGTTATTGCCCCCCTTCCCCAGCATAATGGCGGCACCCATCACCCCACCGAAAAACGAAATCGCCGAGGTTAAGAACCACTGAAATAGACTGTAAGCAAAAAAACAAAACAAACAAACAAACAAAAAAACAGACTGAAAATCCAATATCATGCAGACACTCCTATAATGGCAAAGTATTGGCACGAACATATAGGAAGATGTGGTCTTTCAGATACATTGGTGCCTCGCATAGCAATCGCTCTGTTTAGCGATGAAATCGCTTTGCGACACATTTTTTGCAATCGCTTTGCAATGTTCCCTATGGGGGAATTTCCCTTTGCGATGATTGGTTCCCTGCTTTGGGCACCAATCATCGCAAAGCAGTGATTTTGTAACAGCTGATCGGTGGTTTCAAAATGGCTGCCGGGTAAACAAAATGGCCACCCGCTGTTTTCTGGGGTGGATTCCTCGCTTAAGAGGCACCGAAAATGGCAGTGCTATGGAGGATCTTCGCTGAATTGTGAGTTTTAAGCCCATAGGAACGCATTAATCGCATTTTAATGCATTTCTATGGGCTTTTTAATATCGCATTGCGACGTTTTCATTCTGCAGCAATTTTTGCGGAATGAATTAACGTCACAATGCGAGGCACCACTGTACATTATGCTGCTTGGGATGTGAGAACAAATAGTGACACAGCCACCGACCATTCAGGATGGACGGTACCTGTATATGAGACAGAAAATTCCCAAAGTGATTCTAACTTTCTTCTGGCAGTAAAAGTACAGCAATGATAAAGGGGTAACTCTAACATTAATCCTACCTTAACATTTCTGAATTTGGCCTTTGAACAGTGACCATAAGCCGCCCTTATTTTGCAGTTTTGTACACTTAGGCTCATATGACTGGAAAGTTATGATAAAGTGCTTGACTTCTGTAACAGGCAGTTTTAAAAGGCCAAGAGGATAAAAGTCAAACCATTTAGTGAGTCATGGATGTATTAACATTAATCACTATGTCTTATATCTTTTCCCCAGGCACTGACTCTAACAGTAACACCAAGAGTGTGAAGCGTGGGAGTTAACTCATACATAAAAAGCTCTTAATAAGACAAGCGCAAACTGAATATGCAAATTTAAAACAAGGGTGCCACTACATTGCAACATACTCTAATTACTCCTGGTTCAGCATACAAAAGGATTCAGACTTTCCTGTCTGCACATTATTGTAAACATGGTGGAAACTCACACTTTCTTTGAGGAATTTTTTTTCAACAACCATTGGGAGGCTGTTCATTTAAAATTGATCTACACTGTGCTGATTTGTTACCTGTTTTTGATTGTGTGAATGGTCTTGTCATTATATTCTATATGTTAAAGCATTCTCTGTGCTGTTTTGTGTTTGAGGTGGTGCATGACAGAAAACCATGCCTGCTGCCCAAACTGTTTCCCTTTAATTTTTTTGTTTGTTTGTTTAAATAAACTATTCACCTTGAGCTCTGCTCCCAGACTTTGGAACTTCTTCCCACAGGAGGCTGGCTCCATCTTTACTGTCCTTCTGCAAGCACACAAGGATCTTTCTCTTCAGGCAAGCCTTCCCTCAGTGACTGGCTGCCTGAGTGGGCTTTTAAATAAATAAATAGGCACTGGAGTTTTTGTCTGCGACACTGATGGTACTATGCCATATAGCAGTCCAGCTGCCATATAGGTCGATGAAAGAGTAAGAACACCAGGACTAATGCATGTGTTTTAAGAGGCAATGCAGGTAAGGTAAAAAGCAGCTCAGTGGACTCTTCTCTTCTCCAGAGTCTGCAGCCGTCTGTCGCCCTTCCAGTGCCTCACTTTATTCTTTAAGATACTACAGCAGTTCTAAAGCAATTAACTATGCTCGTTAACATACCATCTGTGAGGCGCATGCGTGATATACCTTTTCAGATAAGGAAGCAAAAAGCTAGCATGTGTGTGTGCGCTACATAACTGATACACAGTTTTACTACAGACAGCAGCAAATGCAAAGTTTAGCAGCAAATGCAAAGTTTAGCAGCAAGTATAGCAAACATATTCCCACAATGCCACTCAGAATTTTAAAAAAGAAGAAAAAAATAACCTGGAAAAGATTATTACGGACACAACGCAGGATACAACGCAGGCAGTCAGGACTGATCCTTGGATGGATATAAGTGCCAACCCTGGGTCTATTTAATGCCATTTAAAGAGCAGTATAGTATCCTGCACTGAATCAACCTGGTGCTGCCCCATGAGGATGGGGACACAAAGAGCACATGACATGAATCAACACAATAATACCTTGACACAACTCTCAGATTACTTAGGCAATGTAGCTACACTCATAAAGTAGCTAAATACTATATAATTCTCAAAACTGACTCATCCTGACACAGTATCAGACTGAAAAATCAGTTTTGACAAAATATTAATGAAGAATTTAACTCATTTATAGTACATTATAAACACAGGATTTAACTAATATATTGAAAGGCTGGTTTCTAGTGACTACTGAGTTATTACATGTTCCAGGATCAAGGAGATGCAATCTGAGTGTCCTAACAAGGACTGTACTCTACAGTATTTTATGCGCTTCAGCTGCAAGGTTTTCAGTCTAAAATATGTGTATTTGTGAATACCACATTAATCAAATAGGTTTGGTAAGTTATTTTCCATTTTATGGAGAACTATGTTTTATCTCTAAGTAACTGCAAAGATCTTGCATCTTGAAAGTCTGGGACACATTTCAGCCTACCGCAATCCATGCACAATTATAATGAAGTAAATCCTATTGTTTTTGGTTGGATTTAAATTTTAGGGCCTAAATCTTATCATTAGTTCCAAAAACTAGCTCTCAGGAGCAAATGTAGTACATTGCCAGCTCAAGAGCAGCGCCTGAGACAATAAAGGCTTTTTTTTTGTATCCCTGAGACACCAATGCTCTAATCCACCTCTGCCCAATGCAACCACCTGGAATTCAAGTGGCACAGAAAGCAAAAGGAGGGGCCTGGCAGGCAGAACCAACCAACCAAAGAAGCATAAATAGAGTGTTCTCAAAGGCTTTCATGGCCACGATCTGATGGTTGGTTGTGAGTTTTTTGGGCTGTTCGGCCATGTTCCGGATTTTTTTTCTTCCTAACATTTCACCAGTCTCTGTGGCCGGCATCTTTAGAGACAAAAATGCTAGCGACAGAGACTGGCAAAACGTTAGGAAGAAAAACCTCCAGAACACAGTCAAACAGCCCAAAAAACCTACAACCAACCAACTGGAACCAACTGGAATCTGTTAATGACCACAGTGAGATGGATCCTGAGATTTTTAGTCCAAATAATTAGTCTTGTAACTCCTGCACATGGACAGCATACAGGAAGAAGAAGAGGGAAGAGACTACTAATGAAGCAGGAAGTGAGACGCTGCTATTAAAGAAATTGAAAGCATGGAAAGGGAAGGAGAAACAGGCTCAGCCAGAAAGAAACAGATACATCTCTAAGGCGCAGAGAAAATGATGACATCAGCACAAGACCAACCCGAACCCAACCACACAGCAGAGGTTTGGCACAAGCTCAGAGTTGTTTCCCTTTTATCCTCCTACCTGTGCTTTGCAGTACTCATCTAGGAGGCAGGAGACTCAATTTGTCTCACTCAGGCGCTTCTCCTTTTTACAGGCCACAAAAGTTGCGAGGCAACCTGCATGGGGAACTGATGAGGGCTGGATTAAGGCTGGAAGGGAAGTCTTCCCCACCTCCCAAAATAAACCATGGCTACGATTCATGCAAACATACAGAAATCAGCCTCTCAGTAAATACAGTATGTATGGATTTTGTCTTATTTTGGAAGCCGAAGAGGATTGTGTCTGCTTAGTACCTGGGTGAGAGACTGCCAGGCAACACCAGGGATCTCTAGATAGAGCTAGGAAAGGCTCCCGCCTGTAACTCCCAGACAGCATTTGCCAGTTGGGGAGTTGGAAATACTGGGATAGAT